AGTAGAGTTATTTATAAAAATCGTATTTATTAACCGATTTCGTTCAAATTTTAAATGTGAGCTATGTACCTGTATGATGGAAAATTCTTTTGATAAAAATTTACCCGATTAGTGCCGCTGGATTTAAGGTAGAAATTCATAACACGTATTCATTTTATGGTAAGCAATGGTTTTGCGCCCAATGGATGGCGCTGCAGCCGAAATGTATAGAAACCCCGTGTGGTTGATCTGCTTTGGACCTATGTTTAAGTTATACGAATATAGTTTTCAGATGTTTAAATGAAGCATGGGGTTAAGTTTTTCTGACGCCCTCATGCACGATCATGCGGTCTTGCATCTACCCTGAAATCAGTTCATAAATTTTACCACGAATTGTAAAAGTGGTGAATTAACAAGGAAAGATCACCGTAGGTATATCAACTGCTTCATTTGAAAGATACTTAAGAGATCACACTACTCATTTAGCAATGTACCGGAAAACTTTTTATCCTATGGGACAGCGAGGATTCTTGGCCTTCCTATAAAGAAAATGCACTTCTGTGCTCTTGAGTTTCCCTATAAGAACTTTTATTGGCATACGTAAGATCATACAAAAAGATTACGCATGATTGGCAGAGATCTCACAGGTGAAAATAAGACCATCAGTAAAGCTCACAGCGTTACTACTATTTGCCTATGTGTGAGGAGGATACTGCGCCTTAGTGGTTTCAACTTAAATCAAAAACTTTGACTTTACAGACTAATTTTGTTTTTAAACGCTCTTTTGCATTGGCTAACGCAAAAGCTCTTATTAGGCGCCGCGAAGTAAGCGGGCATTGGCTAGTTAAAAGAATAAAATCTAACAAGTAATTTTTAGCAAAAAAAACCGACTTCAACTCTCATATAAAAAAAAAATATATATATATCTCATGATCCACTGATCGGATCTTAACCAGATTAGTATGGGACCACCTCTGAGACACTACCTTTCCGATGCAAAAATTAAAATTAAATTATCGAAATCGGTTGACGTGGTCCAAAGTTATGCGGTAACATACAAAAAAAAAAAATATTCCGACGAACTGATAACTTCCTCCTTTGTTGGAAGTCGGTTAAAAATTAAAAGAAAGTTAGATAAAAAATAAAATAAAATAAGTTTCTAAAAATTAAATTAAATAAAAAAATAGTTTTCTTTTAAAAGCAATAAAACCTAGAAAATGTAAGAAAATTAAATTAAACAAGCAATTACAAGACAGCAGGACAGTTAATGGCAACGATGTGACCGAGAGATTTACTAAAGTTGGCATCCATTCGGAAACTGTGCCAATAAAAATGTGCGGATCTCTCTACAGGCAATTAAACGGTGGGAGCGAGAAAAGTACACAGGAAGAGAAATTGTGAAGCAAAACCCTTAGCTGCAGGGTGTGTCGGATTATTTGCCGAATGTACGATAGCAAGCTCACAAAGTTTATTTTTCCCTCTCAAGGGGGAGAACACCAGGCTACTACGCACGTAGCGAGTGTACTAAGAGGACAGTGTTAGGCTTCACATGCCTTTAAGTTGGCTCTGACCAGTGAAAAAAAGTGGCAGGAGAAACGGAACGAACGTGGAGACTTTGCAGCACATCCTCTTTGCGTGTCCAGCCCTTTGTAACCTAGGGAAAAGTGTTCTTTGAGTAGGATTTTTGCAGAATCTGGAAGCACTGTCACAATAGGTTATGACAAATTGTTCCACTTTTGATCCTGGTTTCCAGATATAAGCTGTATGTTTTGGTTGCCCTCTTTCTAGCAATGCTATAGAACTTAATGGTCTCCCCGAAGCTGTCAGACTAACCTAAGCTAAAATAAGATTCCTGATTTTTATAACTTTTTTTTACTAACATTCAGAATTACCTAATAAAGAAAATTACACTTTTTCTCTCTCCTGTAGATCATGGTTCGCCCGCCAATGTACAAATGGGACCACCTGGTGCGATTTTGGGTGTAACCGAGGCGCTCAAGCGCGATACAAATCCGAAAAAAATCAACTTGGGTGTAGGCGCGTCGTGATGACAACGGTAAACCATGGGTGTTGCCCAGTGTGCGCAAGGTAAGTTATTAAATAATTTTTCTAAGGCTTTTTATTAAAATAGATTGTTAAAATAATATTCAAAGCTGAAGAACGCTTAATTGGTAAGCAATTGGACAAAGAATACGCCACAATCATTGGTACTCCGGATTTCTATAATAAAGCCATCGAATTGGCGCTGGGCAAGGATTCTGAGCGATTGCAGGGAAAGCACAATGCTACAACACAGGTAATATATGTACATATATGAAACAAGCACTGAGGCCACTTTGATGTGAAAAAGGTTGCTCATCTACATATTTATATACTTGTACATACATAAATGGCTTTGGAAGAAACAGATATTGAACGCTGCAGCTCATTAGTAAAATGCGACCAAATGTATAGGATACAAAAGATAGCAGTCAAAATAATGCCCGATAACAAAACATATCGATAACAATAATATATCGAGAAAGTATTGTAATTTATTGATTATTACTTATACAGTTGTCTCTTTCTGTTATTGTTATCGGTATTGTAATAGCAATAACAAAAAGTATCGATAACAATGATAACGATAACAATAAGATATCGATAAGTAATTGTAATTCATTGATTATTTTTACAGTTGTATATTTCTGTTATCGTTCTCGGTACTGGTATCCATATTGGATTTGTTATCGTTATCGATATCATTAGAAACATTTGGAAGAAACAGATAGTAAATTCTATATTGGATAAGTAAATTTGAATAGTGAAATAAATAGCGTATAGAATATGAGCGATAACAAAATATATCGATAACAATTACAACAAAAAAGTATCGATAAATCCTTAACAGTATCGTTATCGGTATTGTTTTCGAGTTTATTATATTTGGAAGAAATTGAGAGTAAACTCTGCACCGATTAGTAAAATTCGATAATACTATGCGGTGAAAATGAAAGCGATAACAAAACGTATCGATAAAAACAATAACGATAACAGTGGAGAATCGATAAATCATTAATTTTTTAGCTTTACAGTTTTCGATTTTCATAGCTATTGTTATTGATATTGGATTTGTTATCGGTATTTTTATAGTTATCGATAACACTACCGCTATAGTTTTTTCCACTTTTGTACTTGCTTACTTTTACTTTTAACGTTTTTTATACCCGAGCGCACTTGTGCACAAGGGTATATTAATTTTGTTCACATAACGGTTGTTTGTAACAGCCAAAACGAATCGAGATAGATATAGACAAATGTATACATAAATGATCAGGATGAAAAAAGAAATCGATTAAGCCATGTCTGTCTGTCCGTCCGTCTGTCCGTCTGTCCGTCTGTCCGTCTGTCCGTCTGTCCGTGTACACGATAACTCGAGCAAAAATTGAGATATCTCAACGAAATTTGGTATGTAGGTTTCCCTTAATCCAAGGTAGGTTGGTATTGAAAATGGGCGAAATCGGACTTTAACCACGCCCACTTCCCATATAACGGTAATTTCCAGAAATACGAAAACTGCGATATTTTAGTAACTACTGAAGATAATTCACTCAAAATTGATATTTACAATAATTTTTAGACGAAAAATAAGAATGTTATAAATTTTTGCAATATGGGCGTAGCCACGCCCACTTATGGTTACATGTGTATATCTTGGTAACCGCTGCACCAATTTCTTC